CTGTGGCAAATGTAGTGTTACAGGGATTCTGGATGGGAACCTCTTCAGAGGATCAGGACTCTATTCTATGAAAGTAAACCCACAGTGATCCAATCAACTTGGAGTGTATTAGGAGAGACAGGATAGGAACAGGAGGAGGCCATTCAGCCCCTTGGCAGGGGAGTATCACCTTTCACTTACATAGCTGATCTTTACCTGAGTTCATTTACCTGCCTTGGTTCCATAATTAACATCCTTGTCTAACAAAAATCTACAACTCTCAGTTTTGACATTATGTGTTGACCTGCAGCCTCAACAACCTTTTGGGGAGATAGGTCCGGATTTCCACTGCATCACGTGTGAAGTAGTTCTTTCTGAGATCACCACTGATTAGCCTAGCTCTAACTTTAAATTTCTGTCCACACCAGAGGAAACAGCTTCTCTATATCAACCCAACACACATGTTCTTTATTTCTAGATTTGGAAGTGAATTTTTTTTTTGGAGTCATTTGTTTCTTGTCAGAGAGTGAGCTGCAGAGAAGCCAAACATAATTCAACCATAGATTTGTCTGAAGTCAGACTTTTTCGATTGAACTAATTCAGTCTCTCTGGCTTTCTTTTGATTGTTGATGTGTATGTGCTGAGGGATCTGTTGCAGTAATTTATACAGCTTCAGCAGTTTCTCACGAGTCCCTAAAATCTATGGCTTCAATCATTGTTTCTGAAGAAGGAAATGTATACCGCTCCTGCCTGGAGTTTTGGCTTATAGCGCAGTCAGCGCAGGCTGTTTCCCATTTAAAGAGGAAAAAGAAAATGCAGCAACAATAAAATCAAACACTATTGCCAGCTCACCACCAAACTGTTTACTCCCCTGTCCACTCACAGGAAGGACTGTCATCCCACATCCATGGCTTCAGCCACGCCATGGGAAGACTGGGTATTCACAGACATGGTACCCCTGAGGATCCACTAAAGGTCCCCTCCTTTTATTCAGCAGGGTTTATGACTGGCATCAGGTATTCTCTGATGCGTCTCCCAATCTTCACATATGGGCGTCAAGGGCAAATGATCTCAGGCATTTTATCCAGAGAGAATGTTAACATCAGGCCTAAGCATGTAGGCACCTGAAACTTACCCGCACTTACCCTTTCTAATTCAGAAGTAGGCAGCAATTCAGCGTCAGAACTAGAAGCAGAGGTAGGTAGTTCAGCAGTTCAGCCCCTGGACCATTTGATACAATCATGGCTGATCTCATTCTCGGCCTCAACAGCACTTTCCTACCCACTTCCCATAACCCCCCAACCTATTACTAATTAAAAATTTGTCCATCTCCCCTTTAAATTTCTTCTGTACCCTTGTGTTCAACACACTCTGAGGTAGTAACTTGCACAGATTTATGACCCTTTGAGAGAAGTGAGAGTCATAGAGTGAAAACAGACTCTTCGGTCCAACTCATCAATGCTGACCAGGGTTCCTAAACTAAACTAGTCCCATTTGCCTGCATTTGGCCCATATCCCTCTAAACCTTTCCTATCCCTGTACCTACCCAAACGTCTTTTAAATGTTGTAATTGTACCCACCTCCAACATGTCCTCTGGCAGCTCATTCCATGCACATTCCACCCCCTGTGTGAAAAAGTTGCTCCTTAGGTCCCTTTTAAATCTTTCCCCTCTCACCTTAAACCTATGTCCTCTAATTTTGGATTCCCCCACCCTGAGGAAAAGACCTTTGGATATTCACCCTATCCGTGCCCCTCATGATTTTTATAAACCTCAGCCTCCAACCCTGAAGGGAAAATAACCCCAGACTATTCAGCCTCTCCCTATAGATCAAACCCTCCAACCGTGGCAACATCCTTGTAAATCTTTCTGAGCTCTTTCAAGGTTAACAACATCTTTCCTAAAGCAGGGAGACCTGAATTGAATGCAGTATTCCAATAGTGGCCTACCAATGCCCACTGTGACCCCAGTAGATGACCACTTTGCCAGGGAAACCTCTCCTCTCTATCCAAATCCCTCGTTCTTTCGTACATGTTGATTAGGTCGCTGCTCAGTTTCCTCTGTACTAATAAAATAACCCTATCCTGTCCAGTCTTTCTCATTGTTGCTGTATCAAGCCCTGGAAGCATTCTTGTAAATCTCCTTAATAATCTCTCCATAATAATTATGTCCTTCCTGTAATGTAGTGACCAGAACTGTACACAAACCTCCCGCTGTGGCCTAACCAGCACTTAACAATTCTCCCGCTCTTGTATTCAATACCTCAATGAAAGGAAGCATCTCAAATACTTTCTGTAGCACCTTATCTTCCTGTTGTGCCACTTTCAGAGACCTGTGGACATGTGCTTCAAGACCCCCCTCTTTCCTCTAACCCTCTCAGTACCCTCCCATTTATTGTGTAATCTAAATGCATAACCTCACATAACCTTCATCGGAGGCTCCACTGATGATGTCACCTAGCATGGTGTCGAAACGTCTGAACAAAAACAAGCCAGCTCGGCGAGCAAGTCAACAATCTCACCCACAACCCCAGCTACAGATCTTTGCCAAAACTTTAAGCATAACCTCAGAATTCTGCGGATGGATTACGGTATGCAACTTTCTGTTACTCAGCTAAGCCATTGTTATATTCCTGATGTTGACAGCCATCCTCTTCATTATCAACCACCCAGCCAAATTTTGTGTTGTCTGCAAATTTCCAAATCATGCAACCTACATTACAGTCTAAATCATGAATGGATCCACAAACAGCAAGGGACCTAATACTGAGCTCTGTGGAACACCAGTGGAAACCACTTGTGCTTAGGGTCTGGAATGTGCTGCCTGAGGTTGATTGATTGATTGATTTATTGTCACGTGTACCTAAGTACAGTGAAAAGCTTTGTTTGCGAGCAGTACAGGCAGATCATAGTACGTAAGGACATACAGATCATAGGGTGAGAGAAACTTGGATATAGTGAGGCATACAGGTAACATCGCACAGGACATGCTTGAGACAAGATCAACAACATTTGAAGTTAGAGAGTCCATTCATCAGTCTAATAATGGCAAGAAAGAAGCTGTTCTTCAATCTGTTGGTGCGTGTATTCAAGCTTCTGTGTCTTCTGCCTGACGGAAGAGGGAGAGCATTACCAGGGTGGGAGGGATCTTTAATGATGTTGGCAACCTTTCCACAGCACCAAGAAGTGTAAATGGAGTCCGTGGATGGGAGGTTGACTTCTGTGACGGTCTGGGCTGTACACACCACCTTCTGTAGTTTCTTTCAGTCCTGGGCAGAGCAGTTGCCATACCAGGCTGTTATGTACCCGGACAGTATGCATTCTATGGTTGTAGTGGAGGCGGGTTCAATCATGACTTTCAAAAGTTACATGAAGAGAGAGAATTTGCAGAGCTACTAAGAAAAGGCAGGAGTGTGGGGCTAGCTGATCAACATTGACAGAGACCCGGAAGGTACACAATCAGTTGAATGGCCTCTTTCAGTGTTGGAACCATTGTACGATTCAATTATGATCCTTCCAGATAAGTAACTAGACATTAACAGAGGCCTCAATTGCCCTATCAAATTATGTTTTTAAATATTACTTCATCACCAATCTGTTCTAAAATGGTATTACACTTCTCTGGAGCAGGTGGGACATGAACCCAGGCCTCCTGGCCCAGAGATAGGGACACCAGCACTGCACCACAGAAGTCCCTTCAAGTTATTTTAAAACTCTTTCATAGCCAGCATTCATTGCTACTGACCCAAGGCCAGTTCAAGGAGTTCGACAGCACAACCATGGGCAATAAATTGTCCTTGCTAACGTCATCTGCATCATGTGTGCTTAAAAGCAATTTCCTCCTTTGCACGTTTCATAGCTCATTTCTAAAGTCCTCAAAATAGTTCAGGAAGTGGAGTTTTTTTAAAAATTAATTTTGAACAATAAGCAGGCTAAAAACAGAAACTGGTTTTCAATTGAGAATATCTTTGCGGATCTTGAAAGTAAAACATAAAACATGACAAAGACCTAAATCATTATATTTCACACCCCGACAGAGGGTTTGTGTTGGGACAATACAATATCTAATGTTTTAAAGCAGAGACAATGCTAATCTTGGCAATTACAGACCTGTTACCAGAGCTGATGTATACTGGTAATGCCCACTGAACTAGTAATAAAACTGTTGCTGATTGTTGCAAAAAACCATCAGGTTCACTAATTCCTTTTAGAGGAAGAAACAAGACCATAAGATGTTGGAGCACAAGTAAATCATTTGATCTATTGAGTCTGCTCTGCCATTCAGTGAGATTGTGACTGATCTGAGAATCCTCAACACCATTTTACCTGCCCTTTCCCTATAACCCTTGATTCCCATACTGATTAAAAAATTTTAAAACCGAAAGAACTGCGATGCTGGAAATTAGAAACAAAAACAGAACTTGCTGGAAAAGCTCAGCAGATCTGGCAGCATCTGTGGACAGAAATCAAAGTTAATGTTTTGGGTCCAATGACCCTTCCTCAAAACTGGTTGTAGCCACAAA